AGAGAGGGCGAGAGAGAGAGAGAGAGAGAGAGAGAGAGAGAGAGAGAGAGAGGGAATGTTTTCATCCAATTATTTTCCAAATATGGAGAGCGAATAAAAAAAAATTTGCTTACTATTCAAATATTTTTTCAAGACAAAAAAAAATGAATTGAAAATTTTGAAAATTGAAAATGCAAAGAAGAATGAAGCAAATATAAATGATATTGATATTGATCAATGATTATGTACGCAGCCAGATGATGGGTAAATGAATATTTGTTCATTTTACTGAATTTAAATTCTTATTATTAAAAAAACATAATCATAAATAATCATAATTTGAATGTTTATAGAATTGGAATTCATTTGTTGCAAATCTTTTGATGATTATTTGAAGCAAATCAACAATTCCAGACATATGAAAATGAAATCCTATGTAATGAATAAAATGAAAAATGAATGTAAAATTCTGTGTAAGAAAATTAAAGAAGGAAAATGAATTTATTTGCCTGGTTTTTTTCCTGGTTGATTTTTTTGAAACTTTGAATTTTTTTTTCCAAGACATTAACTTTTCAGTGTGGGAAATTCTTTTACCCCATTACATTTTTTTTTCATTGAAATGTTTCACGAAAAAAATCCATTCCATTATATTTATTCACACACAAACACACATACATTGTTCTTAATATTTTCAATTATACTTGTGTGATAATTGCATAAAACAAAAACAAAATAATAAAATATGTAATCAGATTAATGATGCTTTCAACTAAGAGTTTTTTGTTTTGTTTTTTGTTTTGTTTTTATTTTGTTGTTACAATTTTATAGATGAACGAAAGAAAAAAAGATTACGATTTGAAACCAAAAAAAATCGAGATTGATGACTTTTTTTCCGTTTTACTTTGATATCCGTTACCTTGATCTTTTTGTCGTTGATTTTTAGTTATTTCCTAGGAAAAATTTAATAACAAATGAATTGTTTCTTCAGGGATAAATGACATTCGTTGATTTGTAGTTTTTCATTATATTTGATTTTTGTAAATGTCAAAACATATTTGTCAAAAAAAAGGATTGTTATAACTTGCATATAGTCAATGTAGATTGTCAAAAATGTTAATTGAACAAATGAAAAAAAAAAGTTATCAATGATTGTTTTTCAAAACAAAATCATCATTTTTAACCATAAATTAAAAAAAAAATAATAATTTTTAACCATAATGGTAATCAGACAGATATTATGGTTATTATTGTTCATCGATGTTATTTGGATTATATATTCCTATTACCCAAACAACAAATCGAAACATATCAAATGGGCATACATACATACACACACACAGCTGTCGATAATGGTACAAAAGTTTCATTTTTGCTATCATTTTGTTGTCATGTAAATGTTGTTTGGGTAAATTTGTTTAACGAATTATTTACATATGTGAACCAAATAAGTGATTCTGGTGATTGTAAAAAACCGGAATAAAATTGTCAACAGCAAAAAAAAATCAATGTTTTATGTTCATGTTGTTTTATTCTTACATTTGAAATTGCGAATTAAATTCGTTGTTGTTGACATCATCATCGTTTCTAAATTTAATTATGATTTAAATTATTCAAAATGATGATGATTATTATTATTATTTTAATTAATTAATTAAATTTTGTTGCTTGCTTACATTTATTATCATTATACCAAAAAAAAGGGGATAACCAACAAAAACAAGATGAAAATTATCTTACAAACAATTTTAATAGGATTTAAACTTGAGATTTTTCCCCCCTCTTACTTACCATTTTGAAAACAAATGTTCGAATGAATTTATAACAGGAATAAAATTCATTATCATGTCATTATCGCTAGCTAAAGAATGATGGAAAAACAAAAAATTTCTCGCTCTTAATTTTATTATTTTCACATAATAATCGAAAACAATCGATTTTTTATTTTTGAAAAAAAAAGAAAAGACAAACGAGAATTGTAAAAGGAATTTTTTGTATTCATTGCAATAAATAATTAATCATTTCGAATATATTTTTTTTCAACAACAACAACATCATCATCATCATCATCGTTAACATTATCATTATCATTATAATCATTATTATAATTGTTTTGTTTTTTTTCTGTAAAAATATTCATTCAAAATATTTAATCAAATTTTTTCCGCTTATTCAGTGTGTGTGTTCAATTTAAATCTATTATTTATAATGTCTTTCTTCATGATGATAGCCATAACCATCATCATCGCCACCACCACCACCACCGCCGCCTTTACCATGATGATCATCATATCCACCACCATGATAACCATGATGTTCAACATCATAATGTGCATGTGCTGCATGATGTGATTGTAATCCAGGTTCATTTGAATGTATTTTAGCACGAAAACCTTTTTTATCAGCAACATATTCTACAATACGTTTACGACCATCTTTATCATGTAATGCATATGTTCCATGCTATAATAATAATGAATTATAATAATAAATTAATGAATGAAATGTAAATTGAATTAGTTTTTGGTTGTTGAAGAAAAAAAAAATAACAAACATACCACATTGCCATAATCATCACCGGATTCATGGCGTGAATTTTTTCCACCATAACCATCTTCAATTTCGTAACCAAATTTATATGGATGAGGCTTTCGTGTTTATTTTGTTGTGATTTGAAAAATAAATGTTTAAACAGAAAGAGGAAAAAAAATAATTATAATCAAAATTAATTTCAAAGGGAAAAAATAAAACTTTTTTTCTCTCTCTCTCTCGCTCTCGTTAATTTGTTAAACTTTTATTCGATCCAAATATATTTGCTGAAGATTTCTTAAACATTGATTATTGGATAGGAATTTTTAAATGAAAGAAAGTAAGTCAAAGATGGATGGTGAATAACAGCAGCAACATGATTGATCATATCAACAACACAACGACCAGGGGAGATCTAATCTGATTTGTGGGAAAAAACAAAAGTGGGCAAAAATCTTTTTTGTTATGTCGTTCATTTCAAATACACTAACACAGACACAGACTAATTTCATTTTGTCTCTTATGAAATTCAACATAACAACAACAACACTTTCAATCTTTTGTTTTTAAATATTCTTATTATTATTATCAGCATCATTATTATCATTATAGAAATTGTTGTTGTTGTCATCGTTTGTTGTTGTTATAATCGATGTTTGGTTTTAGCTCATCATCATTCTTCTTCTTTCATTCATTCATTCATTTAGTCTTTTTTTTCATTTATTATTTTCCTAATCAATGTTGTTGTCGTCAACATTCGTTGTCATTCTCATCATTAACACAAATGATGATGGTAAATGAAAAGACACAGGGAATATATGATTAAATTAATTGTTGGGAGAAATTATGCTATATTTTGTTTCAGAATCTTATCCTAATCACATATATTCACGAACAAATATCATTTAAGACACAAAAAAATTCTTTATTCGATAATGATAATGTTAATGATGATGATCATGAAAAATTTTTACTTACTTTATGTTTATGATAACCATCATCTTTACCATGATGTCCACCATGATAACTACATTCAATTAATTCAATCATCATAATTAATGATAAAAATATCAATATTGAACCAATAAATGATGAAAACTATCATAATAATAATCAATTAATAAAGAAAAATTAATGAAAATTTAAATTCAAAATTTGCACTGGAAATACCTTTTTCATTGTTAATTACAGTTGTTGTTGGTGTTTTTATCGACAAAACAAAAGTGAAGATGATGACAGGAAAAAACCAAACACCCGATCAAATTAGAAAACACACACACGAAAAACAAACCAAAACCAAAAAAATCTTGAGATTGTGGTGAAACAGAAAAGTGAACAGAAAAATTATTGCTCAATATGAAACGGATGTTTGGTTTTTATATGTGTTGAATTTGTTGTTTTTTTTCTTCTATTGCTTCATTTGAAAAGAAAACCGATAATTTTTGAACTTACAAAACAAACGGTTCACATCTATCGATTATCGAATGTTGAAAGAGAAAACAAGTAGAGAGTAGACAACAAAAAAAAACAATAAAAACGAAATCCGATATAATACAGACATTGTGAGAGATCAAATGTTTCAATATATTTGATTGATTTTTTTTTCTAATATTCATTTCAAAGTCAATCAATTTACACTTTTTTTTCAGTTTGATTTGTTTCAATTCAAACAGACACACAGGAACAGACAAAAACAAAAAAACAAAAAACGAAACGAAACATGGTACAATATGGATTGGCGACCTTTTGACAAGAAATTTTTCTTTTCATTGACAATAACCAATGAATAATTATATGGTTCCAAAATGAAATTCAAAAAAAAATCCCGATTAACTCATCGAATTCCATATGTGTGAGCAGCGAGAAACCGACACCAATATTCAAAAATATTTTCACCTTTTAAAATGCATTTAGACATTTTAATTAAAGGAAAAAATTTCAATATCGCTAAATGATCTATATTCTCTAAACGTACGTTTTTGTAAATCTACAAATATTTAATGAATGAATGAATAGAATTTTTGGATATTGAATATTGAAGAAGAAACAACAAAAACAAAAATGCTGTATGCGTGTGATCTAGTTTTGGTGATCTAAATTATAACAATATCCCCATTTTGACATTCCATAGAAGTTAATGATTGGATTTTTTTGTTTTGTTTTTTCATTTGATTTTATTTGTTTTTTTCTTTTTTTTTGTTTGGTAAACACACTCAATTAGATTCTGATTTGATTTCGTTTGTTTATACATCTCTTGGATTTTATTATTATTGTATTTTCATTATCATTTGTTTCATTCAATCATTCACTAACTCTCACTCTCTCTTGTCTCATTTTTTATACAGGAACTAACACGGGACCAACAGCCAACAGCCAACAGTAAATTCACAGAGAAAAAAATCCGAAAAAAAACATTTCAATTTCAATCAATTTCCGGTATCGATACAAATCAGAAAAGTTTTTTTGTTTACGCTGATTTCTTCATTCATTCATTCAACCACACACATCACATATAGAATAAAGTTCAGCACAGAAAAACGAACGAAACGAACAATATTGATGATTGGTTTATTTGGTTCAATCAAATCAATCAATGAAAACGAGAAATGAAAACGAAAATTGTTTGGAAAATGAAATCAAATTTTTTTGTTTTCATCAATCAGATACAAACACACAGAAATTGGTCGTAGCAGTAGAAATAGAAAAGTATTATCGGTTATTTTGTTTGTTTGTTTTTTACCAATTATTATAATTTGTGTGAATGAACAACAACAACAACAACAACAAAAAAGAATGAAACTTTTTTACTGTTACAAAACTTTGTTGTTGCTGTTGTTTTTGTATATTCAATTTACCAAGAAAATGTTTTCATGTTCACAAACAAACAAACATTCTCGATGCTCATGACCTAAAGAATTTCTTTTGATGTTCAAAAATTCAAAAAAATGAATGAAATATCTAAGCCAAATGCCAAAACATTTGTTTGGATTCTACCAGGCGTTGGATCTTTTTTTGAAATCATTTTTTCCTGTTAACAGACAAACATTCTTTGGGCAATGATCAATTGAAAATCAATTGTGTTGAAGTAGAAAAGATGTTTTTTTTTCAATACAAGATTTGTTTCATTTTTGCTGAATTTAAAATTGATGGCACGAATTTCTGTTGTTGTTGTTGTGTGTGTGTGAATAAACAAAACATCTCTGAAATGATAATAATAATAAATGTAATTTTTTTTGAATGTAGAAACTTAATCAACTTAGCAATTCTTTCTTTTTTTTCACATTTTTCACAACAATTCAACACAATGATTTTTAGTAACTAAGACTGAATGATTCAAGATAATCTTCCGAGTAACGTTTTCCTTATTCTCTTTCTCTTGATCTGGAATTTTCAATCAGTATAAAGTGTGTGTGCGTTTTTTTTTTGTTGGCTATTTTTCATTTTGGGAATAATTTTCACTAAATTCTGCTTTTTTTTCTCTCACTCTCCTTTTAATCCTTAGTGTCATTGTAAATAACATCAGTTAAGAATTTTCACTTCCTTTAACATCTTTAAACTTGATATAATTGATAATGAAATGTGAGTGTGTGTGTTTTCATGATGAAAAATGATCAAAAAATTTCATTTCAAACACACAATTTTGCATATATTGCTATTGTCGTTTGCGTTATTATTATTGTTTCGTTTTAATTCGATTGATATTATTATTGTTAAAAAGTATTAGAATTGAAATAATATCAATTTTACAATATTATAAGACTTCCTATTTATTATTATCAGTGTGTGTATGTGTGTATGTGATTCATTTTGATTCCCATAAGGAATTGCTGTTGATCAATGGCCTTAATGGTTAATGGATGAAAAAACTAAACGAAATTCTCCTTTATATTTTTGGTCAAGATCAAATATAGTTTGTTTTTTCTGTGGTAAACGAGAAAAGTAAAAAAGTATATTTTTTTCCCAAAGTAGATAATTCAAAGAACATATAAATTTTCCATTCTTTTTTTTCCAATTGAATTAAGATTTGATTTGTTTGTCTAGCGTTTTTTTTTGCCCTTCCATTTTATGAAAAAATATATTCTTTTTCAGGAGAAAATTTATCGTTTTATGAATCGATATTTGTATTGACCAAAGCAGAAAAAGAAGAAAAATGATGAATTTTATATGTATACAAATTTTGAAAAATTACATATCTATTCTGCTCTGCTCTGTTTGTTTGTTTGTTTACATTATATATATTTTTTTCCCAAATTCGCGATCATCATCAATTGAAAATCCAATCATGTATGATATTGACTTATTAGAAAAAAAAATGTTTTACTTCTGTTTACATTATGATGATCATAATGATCATTATCACGAATCTTCAACGACATTTTTTTCAAGTTCAATCATGTCACACACACACTTATTAATTCGAACTGTTTCATATATCGATTCTTAAGTCTATGAAATGATGAGAAAATTAAATTATCATTCATTTTTGGAGAAAAGAAAACTAAAGCAAAAACAACAACAATGAAAAAGATGAATTGAATATTGAAAATATGAATGGTTAGAAAATGGTAACCAAAAAAATCGATATCATTATCATTCTGTGTGGTTATGATATATGATGGTAGTCGTATGGTTTTTCTATTTTCCATTAACCAATGTGTGAGAAAAAGAAAGTTAGTATCTCTTTCTTTGCACACAAAATGATGAAAATATTTATTTACATTTTTTTTGGGAAAAACGAAAAACAAACGATAAATATTCATCTTTTTTTTATCTTTTTTCTTTTCGTTGAAGATTTTTCATCATCATCACACTGACATAGATGGTGGTGATGAAAAGAATCATTAGTTTTTTTTGAATTGTTTAACACTGGGAATTTCAACCAGCAAAACAAACGACGATGATGATGATGAAAAACTAAAGAATTTTAAATTATTATTCAGAATTTTAAAGGAAAATTTTTTCGAAATATTATCAGATCGAATGATGATGATGATGAACAGGAATCATCATCATTTTTTTCAATTTCTTATTCTCTCAAATATTTTTCCTATTTCAACATTATCGATTCGATTCATGTTTAATTCAATATAACATTACATAATATGTTGCTATTTACAAACCAAACAAACATTAAATAATAATAATAATGTCAAACATTATGAAATGAAATGAAATGAAATCCATTGTATATATTTTACATTATAAATATACAATGATTTTTTATGAATGGATTGAATTGAATATTGGGCAACAAACAAACAAGCAAACACGCATAAATCAACAAATTCCAGTAGAAAAAGCAGGCTGTATAGTTACAAAATTTGTAAAATTTTTGAAATTTTATTGATGAAACCGGATATTATTTAAGCCTGAAGGTAAAATAATGATGTAAAATTTGTTTCAATTTTTTATTGTTTTGTTTTGTTTACGGGATTAAAATTATGAATTTTTTTGAATGAATCGAATGTGTAGATCTCGAAATTTAATTTTGAAAAAAAGCTAGTGCTGTCATCTTTTCGAAATTCGGTGAAATTCGTGTGATTCTGTTCAGATGGCCATTGATAATGATTATATAGAACGATATGGTATGTGTAGCAGTGGTTCAATGGAATTCTATTGAATTGAATATAAACAAAATGAAAAAAAAATGATGTTCATCAAATGATCGAAACAATTTCATGAACAATTTGATTTGGGTGTTTGTTTCATTTCATAAAGATTAAGATATTGAATTTTGTGGTTAGGAAAACCGAATGGAATTAAGATTATTAGTAGTTTGGTTTGGAAACAATATTTTCTCTCATAGATAAAGATGAAGAAAATCATTAAATTTTTAACAAACCAAAAAAATAAATTCCGACACTAATGATACATCATTTTTGTACGGTACCATACTGAATGGTGGTAGCAGAATACAGAAAATATATGCTCTCTGTTTTGATTCTTCTTATTTACTGTATTTTTGTTTAAAAAAAAAAATTAGCTTTGAATGTCGGTATTTTAACAGAAAACAAAACGTAAAAAATTCTTGATCAATTCTCAAGGTTATTATCTAAAATAACATTCATCACCGGAATAATGATCGTATAATAAACAACAACAGAAAAATTAATTGAATCCAAAATAACAAAACTTGAAACTTTCGATTGTAAACAGTTTTTGAATTCAAAATTCAAAACTGTCTAATTCATCTAATCATCATCATCATCATCATTTGAATGAAGATATAAGACCATCAAAATCGGCAAGGTAACCATAATTGATTCAATAAAATTCCTGTTTTTTTTGCTTTCCTGATTCCAAGCAAATAAAAACATCAACATGTTTTTCTGTAATCAATAACCAATTCAATTTTTCGTTAGAACTGTCAATCATTCTTATTACTAATCTAACTGAATGAATGATTGATTATGGCCATTTATTATTGATTATTCTAATAAAAAAACAAGATAAAAGTTAACAAACAAACACACATGTACCGAATGTCTTTTTGATAAGACAAATGAATGAATGAATGAATGTTGTTTGTTATTAATGAGAATATTATCGTTGAAAGAAAATTGTGAAATTTTTTTTTTCTTTCTGAAGAATCTTTATCAAGCAGACACAAGCCAAACAGACGATGACGACGACGACGACGACCTTTCTTTGCTCTTTTGTTGATGATGTTCTTTAGCTTTTTTGTTTATGTTTTTTTTTGTTTTGTTTTGTTTTGGTTGTGTGTTCAATGATATTAATTTGACGTTATAATTTTATTTTTTACCTAAATTGTGGTATTGTGTTTGTGTGTTCCATCAAATACTGATTGTTCATTTGTTGTCCAACTGAAAAAGGTATTCTTTGAAAAAAAAAATATCCAAATGAAATACAAACAAACAAACAACAAACAAAATTTAAATGTCATTTGAATGTTGTTTGTCAAAAATTCAATCATTATTTGTATATTTTGATGACGTTTTGCAACGTTGATGACTACCAAATAACAAAACAAAATCAGAATAATGTCCAAATACCAGAACAACAACAACGACAAAAAACATTTAAAATTAAATCAAATTTGATGTTTTATGAAATCACCAGGGTGTTCATCATCATCATCATCATTATTACAAAATGATGCCTGATGATTGTTTTGAAACATACGGAATGAATGAATGAATGACGTTAACAACAACAACGATAATAATCACAGCTAATATGTAATGAATGAAAACAAAAAAAAACAGAAATGATACAAACTAAATTTAGAACGAAATTTGATTCAAATTACAAAAAAAAATATATTCTTTCCTTTTGATTTGATTTGATTAATTTTGATTATTATCATCATTCCTTGTTGTTGTTGTTGTTGTTTTGCTGTCCAAAACAAATTTTCTCCCACCATGGAATTTATTTTCATTTGTAGTTTGATAGTTTCAGTAACAACAAAGCAAAACAAAAAATCCAACCATTTTTTGTTGTTGTTTTTGGTTTCTACCAAGAGATATTATTCGTTTGTAGAGAGAGAGAGAGAAAGTGAATATCCATGAATCACATTTAATTTGATTTGATTTTTTGTTTTTGTTGTTTCCCCTTTCGCCATTTCTAATGAAGCCATATCAACCGATCCAGCAAAAAAACAAGACAAATTTTTCTTCATTTCAGACTTTTATTATTATTATTATTATTATTATCATCATCAGTTTCCGTAGTTATATACAAGAGACCGAATATTACAATATTCATTTCAGGCTGCAAATGAATACCAAAAAAAAAAAAAAAAATCTAAAAAGAGCAAAGGCAGATAAGAATTAAATTGTAATTTTTCATCTGACATTTTTTCTCAAGAATTTTTTCTGATTTGAATTTTTCTGAAAATGAAAATTCTGCTATTTGATTATCATTGACCTAATCAAAAGAAGTAAACTGTATGATTGTGTAAAAAAAATGATGATTATAAATAATTATAATTATAAATAACTTTGTTCCAAAATGAATTATTAGCCAATTTATAAATGCATTATAAATACAGGAATTTTAGTTATCATTTTTTTTGTTGTTGTTGATTTCGAACGCAAAACACGATCATAAACAATGTTTCATTAGTGTTTCATGATTGGTATCATTTGGTTTTTTTCTTTATAGATGATCATGATCATGGTCATAAACTAAATCGAATGGAAAATTATATTTTGTTTTTCTTTTCCCCTCTCTTTCTCTTTCTTTGATTCTTGAATTCCATGGAAACTTTTGTAATTATTACAATGTGGAAAAAAACGACAAGACCTAGAAATAAATTACAATATATAGTTTTTTACTCTCTCTCTTTCTTGTTTAGTGAAAATGAATTACTTATGAACGCCTATTTAATCTCATTTTTTTTAACTTATAATTTATATTAACTTGTACTTGTCATGTTTATAAATGAATAAACGGAAACGATTGGCTACTTTGCTTAGTTTATTTAGTTTGAATTTTTAGTAAATTAATGATGATTCTTTGATAACGCCTTAATTCATTTACAGTAATAACCGTAGAAATAAATTGTCCTTGATTTATATAATGATACTGATAATAATTAGAATTTTTATAATCATGTTTAATTATCATGAACTTTATCTAATCGAATAATGATGATAATTTAAGCATTTTTAAAAAAATAATATAATCTTTTTATTCATTTTGAATTTAAAAAAAAAATTCTAGAATGGAAGTAGAAGATGTTTTACCACCACTTCGGTCGCCAAGTATGCAAGCACCACAATTACAACATCTTTATCGTCTACGTACAATGTCGACGATTGATGAACGTGATTTTCCTGTATCTACTGAAGGAAATATTCCGGAATCAGTACAAAAAGGAAAAATTATCGGTGTATTTACTAGTGGTGGTGATTCACAAGGCATGAATGCTGCTGTTCGTGCTGTTGTACGTATGGGTCTTTATCTTGGTTGTCGTGTTTATTTTATTAAAGAAGGCTATCAAGGAATGGTAGATGGTGGTGATAATATTATTGAAGCTTCTTGGGTATCCGTATCTGGTATTATACATAAAGGTGGTACGGTTATTGGTAGTGCACGATGTAAAGAATTTCGTGAACGTGTTGGCCGTCTTAAAGCAGCATATAATTTAATTCAATATGAAATAACTAATCTAGTCGTCATTGGTGGTGATGGTAGTCTTACTGGTGCCAATCTATTTCGCCAAGAATGGCAATCTTTAGTCCAAGAACTAGTCGATACAGGTAGAAAATTTTTTCATTATCATCAATTGATTGATTGATTGATTGATTGATCAACAGGTAAAATTACACCTCAAAAGGCTGCAACAGTCGAACATTTACACATTGTCGGAATGGTCGGTTCTATTGATAATGATTTCTGTGGAACTGATATGACCATTGGTACTGATTCAGCATTACATCGTATAATCGAATCGATAGATGCTATAGTAACGACAGCATCTTCTCATCAACGTGCATTTATACTCGAAGTAATGGGTCGTCATTGTGGTTATCTTGCATTGGTAGCTGCTTTAGCTAGTGAAGCTGATTTTGTATTCATACCAGAATGGCCTCCCGAAGCTGATTGGAGCAAACGATTATGTCGAAAAATTGAACAAGTATTAGACAGTTGATTTGTTTTGTTCCTGAATTAAATCATTGATTTTTGTTGTTGTTGTTGCTAGGAACGACGACTTGGAAAACGATTAAACATTGTAATCGTTGCTGAAGGTGCCATAGATATGGATGGTAATCCAATTTCAGCTGAAACAGTCAAAGATGTAATTGTTAAAAATACTGGTCAAGATACTCGTATTACTGTACTTGGTCATGTACAACGTGGTGGTAGTCCAAGTGCATTTGATCGTGTTCTTGGCTCACGAATGGGTGCCGAAGCTGTTTTAGCATTATTAGAAGCAACTCCTGAATCACAAGCTTGTGTTGTTTCATTGGATGGAAATCAAGCTGTTCGTGTACCCTTAATGCAATGTGTTGAACGGGTAGGATTCTAATCTAATTTTTCTAGATTTCACTTTTTAGATTGATAATTTATTTATTGATCTTTGTTCATGTTAGACGAAATCAGTTGCCGCGGCCATGAAAAATAAACAATGGGATGAAGCTGTGAAATTACGTGGTATTAGTTTCAAACGAAATTTAGAGACTTATCGTATGTTAACAAAACATGATCCACCAAAAACCGTTGATCATAAAGGCTATCGATTAGCGGTGATGAATTGTGGTGCACCATGTTGTGGCATGAATTCAGCTGTTCGATCATTTGTACGTAATGTAATTTTTCGTGGTGATACCGTTCTAGCCATTCATGATGGTTTTGATGGTCTAGTCGATGGAGATATTCGACCGATCACATGGTCTGAAGTTCGTGGCTGGGTAGGACAAGGTGGTGCTAATTTAGGAACCCGGCGTACATTGCCAAATGATCAAAATATTGAAAAAATTATAGCCAATTTACGTTTGTATCGTATTCAAGCATTATTAGTGATCGGTGGTTTTGAAGCCTTTCAAGCAGTCTTATATCTTACCGAAAGACGACATGAATATGTTGAACTTCGTATGCCATTGTGTTGTGTTCCTGCCACTATCAGCAATAACGTTCCTGGTACTGATTTTTCATTGGGAGCTGATACTGCTCTAAATGAAATAACGGAAATTTGTGACCGAATAAGACAATCAGCTCAAGGTACAAAACGACGTGTTTTTATTATCGAAACAATGGGAGGCTTTTGTGGATATTTGGCAACATTGGCCGGTCTTGCCGGTGGAGCTGATGCTGCCTATATATTTGAAGAACCATTCAGCATCAGTGATCTGATTGGTGATATTCGTTTAATGCATGTCAAAATGGAAGAAGGTGTTACCCGTGGTCTTGTTTTAAGGTTAGTTTTTTTTAATAATATCTTATGCCATAATTATGATTATAATTGTAATCAAATGTCAGAAATGAAAAGGCAAATTCAAATTACACAACAGATTTCATGTTCAAACTTTATAGTGAAGAAGGAAAAGATAATTTTTCTACACGAATGAATATTCTTGGTCATATGCAACAAGGAGCATCACCATCACCATTTGATCGAAATTTTGGTACAAAATTATCAGCTAAAGCAGCTGAATGGCTTACTAGACAATTAGAACATCATTCAAGACCATTAACAGAAGATTATAATGAATTAGTTTATAATTCAACTTCACCGGATACGGCTGTTTTATTGGGACTTATTGGTCGACAATATCGTTTTACTCCGGTACAAACATTGAAAACACAAACCGATTTCAAGTATGTAATCATTATTTATCATATATAGTACATTTACCAATGAACATTGTGATCAAATTAATTATCATTTTTGCTTTACTATGAATGTTCCTTTTTTTTTCTTGGTTACAATAATTATCAATTATTTTGGGTTGGAATGTTTTGAAAGATTTTAGGAACGCACGCAATGCATGTTAAGCTTTTTTAAGTTTTGGTTTCCCGTTAAATTTCTTCTTTTTTTCCTAATTATTTCTATAATTCAATGATATAATTTTGTTTTTTGTCTCTCTATTTTTCCATTCCTACTCCCTTTTTTTAAAAAAAATCAACGATTTTTTGTCTTTGTCAATTTCACGTTGTAAATGTTTTGTTTTGTTTGTTGTGTGTTGTGTATGTGTGTGTATTTTGATGAGCATAGAAATCGTTTAGGAAAAGTACAATGGTGGATACGTCTTCGTCCATTATTACGAGCATTAGCTAGTCCTGAACAATTAGAATTAAAAGATGTTGATGTTACTGTTCATCATTTTGTTGAATTATTGGACAAAGAATAAATCGAATGTTTTCAATCAAATGAAAATCATTGATTCGATCATTATTAATTCAATTAACAGTATACTTGTCCCTTATGTCATTTTTTTTCATTTTGCTTTTGTTTATATCGAAGATATAGAGTAGTAAAATTAGAACATTATTTTTATTTATTTAAAATCCTTTTTGAAACATTAGAATAGAGATAAATACAGACAAAAAAAAACAAAAATTTCAAAATTTCAAACCAAAATCACTAACAATAGTTCTTATTATCGTCCAATCAAAAAAATATCGTCAAAAACCAAACATTTTATTTAGACATCGTATACCATATGAACATTGGTATAAAAAATTACGACCATTATTACGTATATTGGCACATCATGAAGATATTTATCAACCAGAAGTACAACAGGTTCAAGAAATGGATGAAATATTTAAAGATGATGATGATGTTTTCAAAGCATAAACGACATATGTGGACGATATATCGAATAATTGAGCAATGTTATCAATTTGGTGGATCCAACACACAAACAACGAGAAACCTACAAAACTTCCTGCGCATAATTTTTAACAAAAATGAATTTTTAATTTTTATTTTTGCCAATTAAGATTTAAAAAATGAATAAAATAAATTTTATTGATTTTAAAAATTTGAATTTGTCCTTTATTTGATGGATTATTATTTGGAATAGATTTAAAAGAAATAGTTACACTGATGAATTATAAATAAAATTTTACAAATTTTTAAAAAAGAAAAATTTTACAAAATCAAACATCAAGTGTAGCTATTCTTCCGTATCTAGACAAATTTGGGAAAAAAATGAAAATTCCATTATTGTTTTTGTCGTTTGTTACATTTTTTTTCTCGAAAGATAATAGGCTGATAATAGGTATAATCGGATAAACAGAAAGGATTGGCAGACTGATGATATCATTATTATTATTGAGAATAATGTTGTTGTTGTTGTAAATTAAACATCAGTCATGACTATCCTTTCGTAATCCGACCAAAAAAAAAACATTTTTATTGAAATAGATACTCACTGCGAATTCGAATGATGAAAACGATTGACATAATTCGGCAACAAATGGGAAAAAGTTTTTTTTTGTATAATTTTTTATTTTAAGATTTATCGATGAAAATTGTACATTTGACCAAATTCAGAAAGATTGAAAATGACTGAAAATCTTAATATCGAATTTTTTGTTTCTCGAGATTTATAGGCAATCTCTATTGAATATTTTTTTTCCTGGAAAAAATTTTCAGTGCAAATAATCTTTCTCAATTTAGCTGACAAGTTTTTTCGATTGAAACGGGATAGATTTTTATAATTACCAAGTCGAAATATGATCGATGTATACCAGCCAACCGACCAACCAACCAACCGACCAAACACACACGAGCAGATAGAGAAAAAGGACATACAAAAAATGATGATGATGTAAGTGATGAACGAATGAAGAAAAAAAAAGTTGATCAAAAATCATCAAAACCAAAAATGATCATCATTTGAGCATCGATGTTTTTGTTTTTATAACCGAAAATATGTCTGTTTGAAAACAAAAATTGCTTTAGTCTGATCATCATCAATGGATTTTTTGACAAAATTTGCATTCAATTCATATTCGAATCTATTTTCAATTTTGTCAATTATACATACACACACATCTGAATGATAACCCAAACTGAATTGTTTTGTGTGTGTGTGTGTGTGTACATAACGGATTTCATAATATACACACACAAACATAGCTAAAATGACTGGCTGACACTAGTTGATTGTTTGTTTTTGTTTTTTTTTTGTTGAAATCATCAATGATAATAATCAATATTCATCGTCTAATGGCAAAGAATCTCAGCTAGCTAGATGGATGGATGGAAAACTCATAATTTTAATGGAATGATTGTTTTGTTTATGAAATTTTGATCATTAATATTTTTTTTTCTTCTTCTTCTGAATTGTATTGTCGGCCCATCGGATCGTATCGTTCAATTAGATCATTTTTTTCAGATGAAATCGAAACTATCACCAATAATAATTATCCAAAGTATTGGAAATTTCCCGAATATTTCATTTTAATGGCTTTTATATAATGATCATTAGCATCATAAATTGATTTTATTTTATGTGGTGACATTATAACTACCATGGAATACCATTAAAATAGACCAGAAATGATCGATATTTTTGTTTTCGATCACCATCAGAATGCATCTGGTATAATTACTTTTTTTAACATTATGAAAGATTCAACAAGTTGATGTTGTCTATCCATAAATATATTGAAAAAGGATGAATTTCATCGTCAAACTGATCATCATCATCATTGATTTGGTAAATATTTTTCCTATTTTCAAACATTATTATGAATATAATTGCTATATTAATCAATAACAAAAATTCAAATGATGATGATGATGATGATGATCACCAGCAATAAAAATCAATATAGTAGATCATCGTGGCCATTTATTTTGTATGCCATTATATTATAACCAGATTAATGTTTTTTTTTCCAAGATTGCCAATAATATCACTAATGACTTCTGTATTGCCATTGGAATTGCAAAAAAAACCATTTACCAAGCCAAGAATTGACCCAAATCAATTATACAAGCCAAAATGATTGACAAAATAAATAAAAAAACCTATAATGATAGTTATTTAAACATTTCAATTGGATATGTAAAATATCAATTTCAAAACATACATAATGATTTCCTTGTAAAATATATTGAAAAAACATTGAAATAAATGTTTGATTGCAGACAGGATGATGATGGATCAAACAAAACAATTCACAATATTTCTATGGTGATTTCCATTTATGGAATTTGTTTTTGATTTAATTTCAATAATAAAATGATAATGTTTTTTAATCTATTGAATCAAATCATTCAATAAGGATAGTAATTTCAGAGGAAAAAGTGTTCGAAATGGCTAACATACAAAAAAAAAATTTCGATACTATCGATGAATGATAAAAGAATCGATAGTGGTATCCTCATGTTTGTTTTCATTGAAATATTTTGAATCACATGTTTTGAATCGAATTGGAATTCAAATTACAACATGTCTTCACGTATGTTATGTAAAATTTCATCAAATATTTATCATTTTTTACAAAATCCACGATTTACAACATTTTTAAATCAAAATGCTATCCGATCTATGGCATTGTTTCCACCAAAAAAGAAAGAAGGTGAAGAATCACCCGGTATTCGAACAAAAGAATTGGTAAGAATTCGTGATTTTTTCAATGAAGAAGGTCTCAAAGCAGATTATGATAAAAAACATTTCGTTGACACAATTGAAGATTTTAATAACATCCGTAAAATGAAACGTTTTGGATATACCGAATTCATCACTGCTGCATTGCCGGCAATGAAAGAATTTGGTGTTCATAAAGATATCGATTCATATAAAGCCTTGATGCGAGTTTTTCCTAAAGGTGCTTTTGTTCCGACCAGTAAAATAGCTGCAGGATTTTTTGCACATTATGTTCAACAACAAACAGCCCTTAAAATTCTCATACAAATGGAAGAGAACGGTATTATGCCTGATAAAGAATTTGAATCAATCATTATCGATGCTTTTTCCAAATATTCATTGGTATGGGAACGTTGTGCTCGAATGACTTATTGGATGACCAAATTCAAGAATGCTAATCCATTTCCATTTCCCGAGAAAATACCTACAGATTCTTTAGAATTAGCAATCGTAGCTCTTCGACGTATGACATTTTATATTGATCCACAAACAGAAGTTTATGTTTATCGCGTAAGTAACTCATTTTATTTATCTTACTTAAAAGTTCAAATTTTTTTTCACCATTACTCTTTGTAGACGAAACAAATCGATGAATCAGCCGAAGATACTTGGATGTGTTTTGCACAAAGTGATAGCCAATGTAAATTAATTGAAGAATTAGATTTGGAAAAGTATCGTTTATCTGTTGATGGACCATTTCAAGTATGGGTTGCATATAATTCTATTTCATATTTTGTTCTCTATGCTCGAGAAACAAGAGTCAAAGAAGATCGTGATCTAGTTGAAGAATTTCTAAAATCTGAACAAGAGATTAATGGTCAGTATTACTACTTGATCTTTTGATGATGAATGATAATTTTTTTTCATTTATTTAATGATAGATGTCTCGAATATACCTTTATCCAATTTTGGCTACCTGGATTTTGAAGAAGGCATTAATCCAAAAAGTAAAATACATCAACAAGATGATGGAACAATATTAGCTATTGCTGCTACCGGTACATCTAGTCAAGAATCTTTATTACTATGGCTTCGTAAATTGGAGCAACATAATCCTCGATTACGTTCTGCGCCAATTGTTGTTACACCGAATAATTTTACCGAACAAAAACAATCATTAAATGAAAAGACTGAAAATAATTTTCAGAAAAATTTCGACTATAATACAGCAGGAAAAACAAGATAAACAACAATTGGCTACTTATGAATTGTTAATAATCGAAAATAATTTTATTTTAATTTGTAAATAAACTTGTTGATTTTGAATTCAAACTTCAAATTTTTCGGATTTTTTTTTTTTGATTATTCCTTTAAAATCGATTGTATCGATACTGTTTCCCAAAAAAATATTATTTTAAGAGAAAAAAATGCAATTGTAGAAGCATTAACGAATGTTTTCGATTCACATCAGGTGATCAACATTAAACAATGCTTCTACTCTTTATGTTGAAAACTGTTGGATCTAGCTCGAGCACAATCATCATCGAATCCCGAAAGCCGCTTCGAATATGCCCGTTACATAGTCGTGAACAATTTTTGTGTCATCGTTATTGCTTTAAAATGTTTGTGTATCTATTTTGGCTTACAACTTCATCATCAAAATCTATGTTTTGTTTTTCAACAATTTTAATTTTTAACGATTCGTAAAAAAATCACATCGTTTATATGATTATTTCATCAATTTAAATTTTGGTAATTAAAGGTAAATTTATATTATCTGTTTACTTTTTGACTATTACGATCGTATTAAACTTAACAGCTGATTTGTGTGTAAATATGTTTTGCTTGATTCAATGATGTAACCTTTATTTTGTTCAATTTTTCTGTACGCCTATTATCATTAGATAGCTTAATTTTTTTCTTATCAACAAAAAAAAAATTCAATATTTTTCGGATATTTTACCTAATGGTATAATATTTTGAATCGAAAATTTCAAAATACTCAATGTTGTTTTTTTGACCTACTCGAATTTCGATAGATTAAAAACATAAACAACTAAAATCGAGTAGCCTCATTTCTAGCTGTCAATAACTACCTTGAACAGCATAACCATGCATAAAGGTACTGTCCGGTTTTGTCTTCTCGTTTCTGGCGCGCAATATATTTGTGTGGCGTCTCTGACACAAATATATCTTCATATATGACCTCCTGTATATACCTTTCTGTCGTGTCAAAGTGCATTATACCTTTTCGGATTGTAACAGGTTGAATAAAAAACATTTGTCATCATCATCAGCTATCTTTATTATACCTAAAAATATAGATTTTTAAAAAATGTTTATGAGAGAAAGTCAAAATGGCTCATTTTTCATGATGATGAACAAAATATCCACAAATAGCAATAATGATGAAATTCGGTATCTATGCGTTATCCATCCATAATATTATATGACCAATATAATACAAACACTCACATCACATAGAAACCAATGAAAAAGACTCGTCTTTCAATATTTGAAAAAAAAATTGTTTGGAATATTATTGGATTGTATGTGATGATGATGATGATGATGATGGATGTGGACGTTTTAGTCGGCTGTGCGTGCGTGCGTTTATACTTAAGTATATCCAACATATACAAACACGCATTGACTCACAATATTTGCTTGCTTTCTCTCTCTCTCTCAATGCAATACATATTTGAATGTATATCTCTGTGTGTGTGTGTATATGTTAACATGCTTTTCTCAATAGCTTCTCCTGTTTCTGTATGTGCGAGTAGTGCGTATATTGATGTATATTTTGGTCGGCCATTTTTCGCTATTCCAAACAAAATTATATGGAAAAAGGCTAATAAAACTGATGTTTTTTCCCTTATTGGTGATCCTTTTTTTAAAATCAATTAGAAAAAACGCCCAATCGAAGAAATTATCAGATGAAAAATTTGAATTATAAAAATTTTGACCATATGTGTTTATGTGTTGTGTTTGTTTTTTCAATTTGGCGCCATAAGTTAATCCGCATGTCTGTTGTGTAATCAAAACACAACATCTTAACAACAACTTTGTTATTAATCATTTTATATTCATGAGATGATGTAATTAATTTTTAAAGTTTAAATATGCAACCATCGTGTTTTATTATTAGATTCAAAATTTATATTTTTTATTTTTTTTATAATTTTACAGATTTATATCTACCGGCATAATGTTATAATTTAATAAGTGATTACTGTTTTTTTCATCACTTTCTTCAGCTTCCAATCAATCAATTTAACAAAAAAACAAAAGCCGACATTATTCTATACATGTTAAAGAAAAAATGCTAATTGACGACGTTGATACGGCTAAACTAAGACGTACATTAGATCCTGAAATTACCCATGGAATTTGGTCGGCAATAATTCAACTTTCACTTAAACAACATGATAATGGCAGCGATGGTATTGGATGTGATTACGATCAAGTATTGGTTGAACAAAAATGTTTGGTTGAATATCTGGTGGAACATTTTTCTCAGTTAGAGAATTCTGAAAATGTTTCAAAGTCAATCGAAAAAGCTATTGATGAAGGTTTGATTCGAAAACAACGAAATAAATCTGCTGAAGATGGTCAATTGATGGTGATGAACGGCAATGTGAATGATAGTGAGGATCATAATGTTGAAAACAACGAAATCGAATGTTTGATTGGTTTGCCTCATGAAACGGTAAAATTTCCATCACATGATTGGTATTGTTTTGAATGTCATCGTATAAATTGCAAAAGTAAAACCAATGATGATGAAAGTAATGAAACTTGTTCGTCATCTCTAATACTAATTAAATGTCAACATTGTTGGCGTGTTTATCACCGAAAATGTGTTCAACAAGCAGTAGAATTTATTGATCAAATAATTCCTGAAAATGATCGCATAAATTCTAGTAATTCTTCGAGTGAAACATTTACCTGTCCTGTTTGTTTATTAATTCAAAAATATTCATCTTTTTCAGTTGGATCTCGTCATTTTGATCAAAAAGAATTCAATCAAATTTTGAGCTATACTTACACTCGATTCAAAGCAAAAGCATCTCATCAAATATCACATTCCTTACTAAATATGAAACAATTATTGTATAATACAACTTCTATGTCATCATTAATATCATCAAAAATAATATCTTCTTTGCCATCATCGTCCACATCTTCATCAGTTTCAAGTCAAGAAATGAATGGTGAATCATCATCAGAAACGAACAAGTACAAAAAATCAATTATTAGTCCTAAAGATTTATTAAATCAATTGGCAATGAATTATCTTTCATACAAACCTGTCGAACTTGTTGATATTGAAAAATATTTACAAGATTGTCAATATAAAACTATTGGAGAGTTTTTGGGTGATTGTCTTACTGTCCGTCACATGTTAGAAGTGGTTGTTTGTTCACAATCCGAACAATCACCAACCGTACAACGAAGAATACGTGATGCATTATCACGTATGCTTGAAGCTACTAGATATGAATTAAAAGAAATGATTGGTTGTGTTGATTGTTATCGTAATTCAAATCGTCAAAACAATAAGTTATGGTTTTGTTGGCCTTGTGATCCGCCACATATGTTGGTTTTTGCTAAGCAAAAAGGCTATCCTTATTGGCCAGCCAAAGTTATTTATCCACGTAACAGTGATGAAATTGCTGGTTGTAACCAATTGGATGTAAGATTTTTTGGTTCGAATCATGAACGTTCATTGATTGACAAAGCAAATATCAAAGATATTAATTCATCATTGTCCGAATTAAACATACTGAAACCAATGCCATCGCTAGATAAAGCTCTACAAGAATTACGCGCATATAGGGAATTATTGGAATCAACGGATGAATTGAAAAATGAAACACATTCATCGCTTTTGAAAATTAGTGGTAAAAAAGATGAAATTCATTGTGCAAAAAATAATTCCGACAACAAGTGCAATTTAAAAAATGGAGATGAATCAATTCGACGAACAAAACGAAAAGTGAAATCGAAATTTTTTCGGCAAGCAATTAATGAAAATGATGATGAGGGTTGTTCCGAAGATCTGATGACTGAAGAAAGCAACAGTGTGATTGAAGAAAATAACATCGATGAAGATGGTGAACAGACTGAACACGATCCTAATTCTCAGTCAAATGATTCGAAAATAAAATCCGAAGATAATGCTACTGATGTTGATGATTCTACTGATGATAGTGAAGCTGAAGATTCTACTGAAACAAATGAGAAAAATATTTCAATAGAACAACCAAAGAAAAGAGCTTGTGGCAGACCTAGAAAATTTTCATCATCATCAAGCTTAATAACGACACAATCGATAGGAAAAAAACGAATGAAATCACCAAGAGAGAAAACATCACTTTCAACAAAAAATCGAATCCGTAAGAAAAAAATAATATACTCGCCAAACTATAATTCTCGTCCGTCCGACAATAATAGCATCGATAGTTTATCAACAAATACTAGTCTAGAAACATCATCAAAACGTGGCCGCAAACCTAAACTATTTCATTCACCTGTTGTTAATCATCAAATTCTGTCTTCCTCAAAATCATCTGAAAAAATAAAACAAACACAACGTTTATCACCTAAAAAATGGACACAGAAATCAATATCGACAGTCAAACGAAATAAAAATGAACTTCGTTGCTTAACATCTACCTCATCATCATTAAATAAAAAAGCAAAATTGCCGCCATCATCTCCATCTAATTCTAATAATTATTCACCTAAATATTCGAAAAAACTACGAGAAATTGAACGTGAACGACAGTTGATTAAAGCGCGTAGAAAATTGTTAATGAATGAAGTGACAACACCTAAGCATGTACCACCGGTAGTTGCGACCAAATCAATTCCACCCAATTCGATTTTATCATCAACATTATCTAAGCCATCACCATCAATTCTAAATAAGGTTTGTTTGTTTTTTTGCTTTCTTTTATTTTGGTGATTAATTTTCTATTTTCATAGGTTCTAAAAGCCAATTGCAATAAATCTATGGAATCAAATACTTTGGTTTCTCTTTTATCACAAAATTCAATTCCTAAAATTATTAATAATTGTGGACAATATTACAATAATAATGCTGAGTCTTATCAATCTACGCATGAATATGTTACAATCTCGAATGATTATTTGATAAAATCAGAAAAGACTGATAACAATAATAAAAATGACTTGATTCAAAATTCGACTGATTTTGCAACAAACTCTCAGAAAGTATCGAATCCACCAAGTAGTTTTCTTAAACCTTTAAACAGTGAAGGTGAAACTGATGAAGATCGTATCACAGATAATGATTGTGGTAATGAACAAAATACTTCACAAATAGATGAAACATCCAAAAATGAAGAAGTACATAATAATAATGATCAAAACAATGTTATTAAACAAAATAATTCTACTGTGATGGATGACGATGACGATGAAGAACCATATCTTTATGATGACGAACAATTGGAAGATCATATAAATTATTATCTTGAGTATGAAAAAGCAAAAAAAGATGAACAGCAACGACTGAATTTGAGTCATCATCATCATCAACAACAAATTTTGTCTGATCAGTATCATCAATATTATCCAATAAATCATTTACAACCAAGAATGATGATGCCGAATAATTTGATGGTAGATCGATCTAAATTTGCTGAAAATTTTCCACACAAAACCAATGGATTTGTAAATGAATCACCATTTTCAGAACCACCAAAAAAATATATTGATTATTCGCCAGCACAAATTTATGTACCAACAAAAAAGAATCAAAATCTTGTCAATTCATATCTTTTTCATGTAGAAACGAACAATCAAAAAATACCTCATTATCGTGGCGATTATCTAGCACAATACATATTGCAAAAAGATGAATTTGAACCGGAAGATATTCAGATAAGTCCACGAAAACGTGGTAGGCCATCAAAAAATGTTGAACCATCATCGTTTGAACATTCACAAAAAGCACGTTGTTTGTTGGAAAAAAGTTATCTTCAAGATAGTGCCTGTAATCGTGCTTGTTTGACGAATAGTGTTAAAGCATTTAAAAAATTTAGAGAATTTCTTGAAGCACAAAGCAAAAATGAAATTTCAAAGGTTTGTAATTTGATTTTGCTAAACATTTTCATTTATCATCATTTTTGTTTTTGATTGAAAAAAATTTCTAGCTCAAACGAGAACTTGAAGAATCTAAACAACAAGTATATCGTTTGACAAATAAAACAACAGAATTAGAAATGATTGTTAAAAATGAGCGTGATCTCAATAAACGATATAATCCAGCGGTCATCAAACAAATGGAAGAACGTTATAAACGAGAAATTTCCCAAGTAAAACGAAAACAATGGGTATGTATTTTAATGATAGATTGATGATTATTTTTAATTTTTTCTCCTTTTGTTCAACAACAAAAATAGTGTGCATTGTGTGAAGCAGAAGCAAATTATTTCTGGTATGTAAAATTATTCTTATTTTGATTTTCTAATACTAATTTTTGTTATTGTTGTTGTTAATTCTATAGTTGTTTCAAAACAAATTATTGTTCACCAGAATGTCAACTAAAACATTGGAAAGCTGGTCATCAATCGGAATGTACAAGAAATAAGAATAATGGCAAAATAAACAATGATAAAGCAATCAAAATTGAATAATGGCTATTTACCTTAATTTTCATGCATATCATTATAAGAAACAAATTGATCCATTTGGGATGATTTATAAATTAATATAAATTTATATAATTGTAAATAGAAAAATTCATTGATTGCAATCATTAATTAATTATATGAAAAAAAACAATGACAATAAAAGGATATCGTTTTTTTGTGTGTATAATGGATATAGCTAACTATGAATTTTATGATGAAAAAATTGTTCATTACAATTACTGATTAGAATTATTTTTTAAAAAAATCATAATTTTGTAATTATTTTATTTAATTATTCATTTGACCATTTGTAATCAATTTCTATGAACATTCATTCAATGAGTTTGTATTTTTTTGTGTTTTTAATTATTTTTATAATTAAAAAAATTATCAAACGCTAAAATCAAATGTTTATTTTTTTTTCGACGAAAATTTTTTCAACCAGATGGCAGTCAACGTCCATTAAATTCGAACGAATAATTCGGTATTCAAATGATCAGAACGAATCAACAGCTTTTTAAACCAAATCGAGTGTTGAGGGGAAAAAAGGTGGAAGATGGTAAAGCAAAAGATTAACAGTAATAATCGAAGAAAATATGATTGCAAAAACAACCAACAACACCAAGAAAAAAATCGATTTATTTCTTTTTTTCGAATATTCGTTTTCTATGATTAGGTTTTTGTTGTTGTATAAGAACATTAAACAGAGTAAATGATAATAAATGTCTCTTTTTTTTTATCCTTGTTGTTACTTATTATTACTTCAAGAATTATACAAAGAAAGACAAAGATGATGACCACGATGATGATCAAAAAAAAAAAAGATTGAGGCTCGTTAGATTTGGATAATAAACTATCAGTATAATGATGATGATGATGATCTTGTCCGCTTGGTTGATATGAAAAGCCTCAAGAATTAATCTTTATAAATATTGTTTTTTTTTCTCAATAATTTTTGTTTTTTATTTTCGGATGACGACGATGATCATGATCTTCAATCTTAGGATTGTTTTTTTATTTACCACAAACTAAAAAAACTGTGATCGTCATTTTGATAACAAATAAATTATCTTCATTACCTGATGACCAAAATTCATAGAAAAAAACAATCGTTATCAGTAATAATTGATAAATGATCACCATGTTTGGCAATAATAATAATGGCCCAGTATAGTAATGTAGGCGTACATTTTTTCGTAACCTGTATTGTTTGTTTGTTTGTTTGTTCGTTTGTCATCATTTATTGTGCAGAATAACAAATAAAACGAAAGAAATGTCAAAAAGTAATCATCAGAGGCTTTAAAATAATAATAATCTTTCTTGATAAATATCACCATCACCACTACCAACATCATTTACTTGTAAAAATCATTTACCTGAACTTGTGGATTATGTCAAAAATCAAATAATCCAAAATAGTAACAGACAAAAAAAAAAATTTAAGCTAATGATGATTATAATCACAATGGTTATATGACATGAAAAAGAAGAGGAGGATAAATAAAAAACAAAAGGGGCAGAACATTGAAAACATCATAATAACATAGATTAAACATATAAATCAAAGTGGTGGTGGTGGTGGTAAGCCGGCCTTAACTAACAACTAATCTGGATTAATGATAAACATTGAATGTCGTATATATTCAATCATTGCATTTTTATCTTCTTCTTTTTTTTAAAAAAAACGATAAACCTATGACCAATGGCCACCAGAGAAACGATAACATTTTATATAACACAAATGAGTATTTTATTCAAAAAAAATGCCTTGTTTTTTTTCTCAAAAAAAAAGTCAAGGGAAAAAAATAAACTCAATAAAGATAAGAAGAATCTGAAGAAGAAAAAAAAATCAGATACAATTTGTGATTTGATTTTGATTTTCAATCCAGTTACAGCAGTTATTCTGATGATGATGATGATGATCATAAATGATTATAAATACTGAATGTCCTGCAAAATAACAAAACAGTATTTTTGTTTTTTGTTTTTTGTTTTTCGTTCAAAAAAATTGGATCAAAAACGATTAAACAGTTACTATATATTTTCTTTTCTTCCTTTACTGAAACCACCACCTACTATAAAATGTTTGTTTGTCGAATAAATAACTAATATCAAACATCAGTTCACAAATTCTTCCGTTGAACAACATATAGATATAAATCGTTCAATTTTATCCAATGTACAATTTGTTTGGCTTGGATAATAAATTAACGCCATTTTGGTCATCATTTAAATAAAAAATCCGTTGATCATAATCATCATGATCTTTCGGTGAAGAGAGGGAGAGAGAGAGAAAAAATGGTTTGCGGCTATGTTATCAACAACAACAGCATCAATTTAACAATGTGGATTTTAAATTTTTTTTTGAAAAATAAAAAAATAAAGAAAAAAAAAGATTTTCAGATCATCATCATCATTATTTAGATGATAGACGTCAATATTTATTTTAATGAAGAAAAATTGACTTGAAATTTATCAATGATAATAATGATGATTATTATGACCAGATGATGATTATTTAGATTGCCAACATTTTTTTGTAGCTGATTATTATTAACAAACAAATAACAATTGGGTAATGTTATTCATTCATTCATCTAATCAATCTCGATGATAATTGTCTGGTGTAACAACAAACCAGAAAATAATGTTTGTTTGTTTTGCTTTACAAACGTGATTTATTCATGTTTGCATTATCCCCCCCTGAAAAGAAACCATTTCTTTCACTGGATTTTGATGATTATAATCGAAAAAGAAAAAAACTTAAACAAATCGATCTAGCCGAAAAAAAATTAAATGCCAATTTCTTTTCTTTTTTTTAAAAATTGTTAACATATTAAAATAATGTATATTTACAATTACAATCATTATCGTTAAATGTGATGAACATAGCCAAATAATAGAGTATTAATTACAATCGATCGATCGAATCAAATTGATTGATTGATTGACCACAATTTCAACGGATAAATGATGGATTCTGAATCAAAAAAAAACATTGATTAGTAAAGATTATCGAATCTTGTTGTCTTGTTGATTTCATTGATCGTAAGATTTGCAAATGAAACGTTGTTTTTTTCGAAATAAAATTGATTGTTGCAAAAAAAATTTAAATAAGACACTTGATTTACTACTTGGCTACTTGATTTTAAAAAATTTGAATAATTTTAAAAATAGACATACAAAAAAAAACAATCATTGTAATTACATTACATTTGCGAAAATAATGAGATTGATGAAATGAGAAAAATATCATCAGTAGCAAGCATAGAAGAATTTTTTAAATTCATTGTTTTAAAAATTTGCATAATTATCCATGATTTAATCGTGAATTTTGTTTTGGGCTTCAAAAACCAAAATCATGAATATCATTTAGTGTGTGTGTGTATTCCTGTCATCGAATTATCTATTATTATCAATGATTACCAAATCAAAGTTTATCCTTGAATAAGATGTTTGAATTCCCCTTGTATATGTAACCATATCAAACAACCATTTTTTCTTGATCAGGTGCTCCATGAACTTAATTTGAAGTAATGAAAATTAAACCTCACAAACTAAACCGGTCAACTATCGAGGAATATCGCTACTGGAACGTTCTTAATCCAACAGGATGTTTGTACTATTTGAAAATGTAATACAATTAGAAATCAACAAAATAACAATCATTAGTTATTAGATTAATGTAAATCAATTACAATTGTAATACGACAATCATGATTGCAAAATGAGTGAACAAACGTTTTCAATAAATCAATGATCGATAATTGATTAATATGATTTTTGATAATGAAGATTATTATTATTATTATTATTAATGATTGATAATTAATTATGAAAAAAATGAAAAAATAATAGACAAAAATTCAATCAATTTGATTGCAATTTTTGCTTTTGTCGATTAAATGCCGAAAATAATTCGGCTAATGGATACTTGCAATCGATTCGAACATATTGCTTTGAATTCCGCAATTTAATAATTTTTATCCATTTCGAGCCGACTGCTGCGTCCAATTCGAATCGAGATAAATATTCTAAATGACGACGTGATTCCAACGCAGACATTGGAACACTTGTTGATATTCGCTTGGCTTTTTTGGCGGCTTCTTTTGCGCGAACTTTATTCAATAAACCGACGGATATTCCTTTAAGCAACCCGGATTGGATTTTATTCGTATCACCATCTTTATCACTATTATTATTATCGTCGATTTTTGCAACTGAATCAGTTTTCGGTCTGAAATAATCAAGAATTGTTGTCGATTTTTTATTGGTCATGGTGGTGTATGAATTTTTACGAATTTTCGGTTTCATCGGTAACAACGTATAATCAGGTTTAATATCCGATACAGAATCCAATGCAAACATATGATGCCAACGATATATGTGATCATCTGCACTGAGATTTAATTTCATCTGTGAAAGAAATTTTAACTGTTCAACACGTGTCAATTCCAAAAGCAGACGATAAAATTCTTTTTCACGCTCCATTACTGTTCCAATAGAATTTAGACATTTTAAATTGTGATTATATAGTGGTTTAAAGAATAATATTAATTAATTATCAAACATTAATAATAATATTAATAATAATAATCTTTATTATTCATTTAATTAAATAGAATTTGCAAAATTTAAAATATTTTTCATAAAAAAAAGGTTATTTTTTGGTTGTTGTTGAAAATAATTTAATTGAATTAATCTGCTTCTGTGTTATTTTCTGTTTTGTTTTCGGTTTTTTGTTATTGTTGTTGTTGTTGTTGTTATCGATGCTTAATTATCATTCAATCTATGATGTCTAGATTGACCTTTCAATGAAACAAAAAAATTGAATAATAATAAAAATAAATCGATGATGATGATGATTTGCCAAAATCGATTTGTACATTTATCGTTTAGCCGAAAAGCCAAAAAAAAAGTTACAATCCTCTTGTCATTTCTTTTTTTTTTGTTTTTCTTCTTCTCCCTCCTTTTACATTTGTTTTTGTGTGTTGTGCCTTTTATGATGATGGAGAAATAC